CCATTGGAATTTGCTTTTTCATTCGGTTGCAGTAATATCCTGCGTGCTGCTCGTTTGACGGAAAATCTGCTAGCATATTCGTTTACGAAAAAACACACCAAGCAGTTAAATCTTACCAAGAGGGCACGGTTCTAATACGTCGGCAATTGCTAAATCAAATTTTTCGTCTTGCAGTCGATTCATAACTTTCTTGTCCTGCAGTTGTAATTCACAACTCTTTGTGAAGAATTCCTGAACATCTAAAATGATATGGAACGATATTACTTATTTGGTTGAATTCGGTTTTTCGCACGGGTAAAGTAATGAGTAAGGAAAACCAGTTTGTTGAATATTGTAAGGAGTCTGTTGAATAATTTCCCACAAAGAAGTGTCAATGAGCATAAAATTCATGTTCTCTTATGCAGAAGCGATGAATAATAAACAGCGCTTTGATAAAAGACAGCGCACAGTCGTACCTATTTCCTGGTGTAAGCAACTGAGTAACGAAAATGGAAAGACCATTCGGTATAAGTTTACGTATTTTATGCCAGTGATACTACTGGAATGCTCTCACACTCCGAGTGCAGTTATGTAGGCTCCTACTTCCTTTTTATAATTCTACTTAGTAACCAGTCTAAAAGGTGCGAACAGATTATTAGAGGACAAGAACAGTCTATAATATGGTTTCTGCAAGATTTCAGAAAACCAAACTCATAAAACTCACATTTACCATACCAAAAATGGATTGGTATTTCTGCTCCCAGGAATTCTGAACAAAGATTTTTACATCGAATATTTCATTCAGTTTTTCATCACACGCCATACTTATCGTTTTTGCGAGACGGGAACCATTTGTATCAGCAAGAGAACTCAAAATCGGCGCAAACTGAACCTGAAAAGTTTTTTTATCAATAACGAGATTTTTTTTGTGAAAGGACGCTTAAATAAAAGTAGGGTTTCGCAGAAACGAAAAATCCCAACGTTTTTTAGACGGTTTTGCAACATGGCTTTGCAAAATCGTCTAAAAATCATCGAGATTTTACAACAACGGTTTTGTAACAATCGAAAAGCATATATGCATAATGTGGGCAGTGAATACAGCATGCAAACGTGAAACTAAGGATCAAAAATTTAAGAGTAGATGCGCCCATCATGTGCTTACATCCTAGTAACAACGCTAACGTCGAATATGATCAGGTTAAATCTGATACTGATTTTTAACCTTACTTTTTACATAAATACACATCATCTAAAATTAAAATTACAATTAAATAAATAGCGGCGCGCAAGAAGACAGTCGATGGGATCATGCGTTTTGCACAATTTCGTCCGATGGGCATTTGCTGTTAAGAATTTTCACTGTTTTATACTTTGTCAAATAGGCAAAAATACTCGACATGTTATTTGTTTCCTTAACTGTAAAATATCCCACTAAAAACTTCACATACTGGAGCATGAGCGTGCATGAAAACTAAATTTGAAACCTTTGGATCGCACAGAGGAGGTGCGCATTCTCACAGAATTACAAATTCTGGCTTCGAGTTTGGTTTCGAATTTGTGACTTTCACGCAAAAACTGTCACATGGCCATGCGTTAGACTCGGCATACTTAGGCGCTAAATTTGAATTTTTTGGTGTAATTGTACAAACAAAAAGCATGCTCTAAATCTCAGCTTCCTAGCTTTCGTGTTCATCTAGTTAATAATTTTTCCCTCAAAATTTTCACAGGGAATAAGTGAAATTCAGACATACCACGAGACTAAATTTGGGTTTGCGGGTGAGAGATATCCTCTAAAATTTCAGCTTCCTAGCCTCTCTGGTTCGAGGATTGAAACCCGCGAATAAAACGTGTATGGAACAAGCGTACAAAACAGGGTCTCGACAGTATGCGTTTTGGGCATCTGCTGCAGCACAAAATGTATAAAAGCTGGATCAGCTAACAGATCAGTAACATTTCTATCAATTTATATTTATTGTCTAAAATATTAATGAACAGTAGCGCGCACCAGGGCAGGCAGTGCGATCATGCGTTTTGTACAATTCCGTTCACCGAAAGGCTGCCTACTAATGATTTTCAGTGCTTTGCATTTTGGTCTATGCAAAAGTACTTAAAATGTCTGGTTCATAAGTTGCAGGATTTTCTATTAAAAAATTTCACGCAAACGAGATAATAATTTCTCTATCAAAACTTTTAGAGAAATTATTATCTCGTTTGCGTGAAATTATTATCTCGTTTGCGTATACATCCTACATGGTACCCAGGATTGCACGAAAGCTGAATCTAAATTTGCGAGGTTGTACGTTTGTAGAGGCGATCACCCCAAAATTTCAGATTCTCAACTTTCGCGGTCACCGAGATAATAATTCTCCCCGCAGAAAAACTTTCACGAGTTCGTAAATGATACTCGCATGCGCGGGAAGCCGAAATTAAAATTGCAGGATTGTATGTGGACAGAAACCGTTACCGTAAAATTTAGCTTCCTGACTTTTATGTTCCCAAAATAATTTCCCCGCCAAAACTTTCACGAGGCCGTAGGTGATAACCGAAAGCGCGGGAACGCTGAATTTGAATGGGCAAGGTTGAGCGTAGGCAAGGGGTTATTATAATAAAATTTTAGCTTTGCGTATTCAGTGGCTTCCGAGATGATAATTTACTCGCCAAGACTTTCAAGAGGTCGTAGGTAATACCTGATTATGCAAAATCGAGCATGGGCAAGGGGTTATTACACTAAAATTTCAGCTTCGTACATTCATTGTTCCCGAGATAATAATTTACCTGCAAAAACATCTACAGGGCCGTACATGTTACCCACGGGCAGGGGAAAGCTGAATTTAAATTTTCTTTGTATCACGCGGGCACAGAACACGCCCACAAAATTTCATTCTTTTAGCTTCTGTGATAATAACTTTACCCGCCCAAGCTTTTACGGGGCCGTACCTGTTACTTACGGGCACGGGAAGGTTGATTTTAAATTTGCGGGGGTCAAATGTGAATGAGGAACGTTTTGTGCTTCCCGAGCTAAAATTTGCGGACAAGTTGCTGCGGACACACACGCACATGCACCCGTGACAAAATGCGTTTTGTACTGCTGTTACACAGCGCAAAACGCATAAAAAACTATGAAAAAATACTGCCAGTAATTCTGGATGCAAAACTATAATTTGCCGTGACCTTTCTTGAACATAGCTGCACTTTTCTTTTTTTTTATTCCAGAAGAAGCGTTAGGATTTTTAAAAAATCGACTTAGCACAAAATTTGCCTCTCGGCTAAATTAAAATATATGACTTTCAATTTTTTTACTACTTGCCTAATTAGACTTGTCGCGTCAAAATTGTTGCGACCTGTTTACCAATTACTTCGCAAAAGCATCAGCGTTGAGCTTTCGGTCATTTCGCTTTCAGAGTTTATCACGTCGCCCAGAAAATTTGACAGCCATGCAAAAAAAAGAAATTTCTGATCTGGAAAGTTTGATTATTGAATCACTGAAATGAACAAGTTGCATACCACATCGTGTCCTGCTTCGACCAATGTGTCAGCAATGTTACCCATAAATCGCACATGGCTTTTACCAAAACGTGGATTAAATACCAAAATTTTGTATCCATTCAGCGGAGCCAAGTAAATTGCAAAAAAAAACAAATAAGGTGCCAGCGACACTAAGACATTAGGTCTGCCGAGTGGAGATCTTCGTAAAAAGTCGTGCTGAAAAATTTGCTGCAGCGATTGTGTGGGGGACAAACTGGTTGGGCAGTCCCTCCACAAAAAATGCGAAAACACTGCAAAAACTTTTATTGATATGCAGTTGAGTCTGAAAAAACATTCACTATACGTAATCTATCGTTGCTAAAGAAGTTGAGGACGGAAGGCAGTTTTCCTGGTAGTACTTCTTTCATACAGGCAGTTGCCTGAAAACCCAGTAAGTTTCATCTTATAGCCTTGCCCAATTAATTAGCCTGAAAACGCTTGCAATAGCAGTCGAATATTTCAATATTTGGAGCCGAAACCGGTCTTCCATCCACTGCGCAACAGCAGTGACTATTCGAAAGCTAATCTACAAGTTGCTCAGCCGTAACAACTCACCGAGCTTCTCTGTGGAAATCAAGTGGGTTGCTGGTGGACATAGTTTTGTTCACTACGGTAGCTTCAGTGGAACCTGTTTCATTTGACAATCACAAAATAACAGATCTGATTCGAACAGAAATCACCTTCCCAGGTGATAAATTTCCTCATATCAAAAAACGAAGGCGCTTGAATCATTTCATCCTACATTTCTATATTTGAACACCCTATACTTGGTATATTTGAACGCCTTAAACTCCTACATTTTTTGGTCATATACAAGCATCTCAGTAATATCACTGGTGTGGGATAAACCGCACTGACAACCTATACGGATTTGGGAATCGTGGCATACTCAGTGGAGGGCCCGGTATCGCATTAAGTTCCACTACGATTGTCCGAATTGCTTATTGGGAAAAACAGTTCAGTTGGAGTTTAGTTCAGGTTGTTAATCAGTACTAGCAAGAAAAGTACTAGCATATTTAAAAACCACCACTACACTCAAAGGAGCTTGCGAAGGAAAGAACCAGCAAAAAAACTCTAAGTTTACAGCATCCCACAGCACGCAAAATGCTTCGCGGCCTTTGGATTTACGAGCAGTGAAATGTGGAGTGGGTTTTAGCCTTATAATTATTAATTGTTATTATTCTAATATTAATGCTGCTGTTGTTGCTCTCGATTATTACTTATAATTATCACATCTCATTATTAAAATATTAAATAACAAGCAAAAACACTTAGAGAGCTTTTCCGCATCCATTTCCACCTTTAAAAATTTGGAAAAGTTTTTTTTTTTTTGAAGGAACTCTGACATGGGTCAGCAACTCTACAGCTGCCTACTGATAAACGGTTACAACAGATCTAACATTTCTTATAGCAGTACTTTACATTAGAACTACTCAAACATGTGCAGACAGAAAAGTCTAAAACTACTGACAAAAAAAAACTCGTCACATTTCCTTTCACTGATCTTTTTTAGCACATTTTTCTTCGGTTCTACTACTACTTTCTAGGGCCATCTTCTTGATCAGCCTATAACACGCATAGCAAAACAAAGCTAATAAAAGTGCTATAATTATTATGAATGGTACAATGATATCAAGCATGAAATATGATATGAACGACATCTTCCTGCCGTACGGATCAAAGTTCGGTATTTGACCAAATTCAGCGGCAAATTCCACGTGCCTTATCAACTGTTCCTTGGCCGAGTTGGGCCTTTTTGCTATCATTCTGGACAGCTGCTCCGCCTTTTGCGCAAATCTAAAATTTACAGCAGTGCTTAGTAAAAAATGTGTTGAGATTTTGATATATTTTATTTCTTAGGAGAAATGGTGGGCACCGGTGCAACTGGAGTGATCCTATTTTTCTATAAATATTAGCTTGCAGGCAAATCTCATCCATTTCGAAGGCATACTGAGGACATCATTCTCATGCCAGCATCCGTACAGAATAACTTACTTAAATGATCAAAACTATACATTAACGTCGTTGGTTTTGTGCAAAAATGTATGGGAAAACAATTATTGCTCAATAACCCAGGTTAGAACGCAACAGGCTATCCGGTGCGAGCGTGTTTTTGCTCAGCTTTTTACTACATACAGTTCCAGTTCTTCATTGAAAAGTGAAAATGTTGTTAGAGCGGTCGTCCGTCAAAAAATCCAAATTTGTAAATGAACTGGATGATGGGAGAAGATAAGGGCGGTCAGTTACTGCAAAATGCATTCGTTTCTGAGTATATAGTAAGGTTGAGTATTTCTCATACCCACCTGCGGGGAATTCCACTTCTAAGCAGAATTAAGACTGCACTTGAAAGTAAAATATTCTAGCGGAGTTTCAGCCTCGAGCACTATTTGGTAAGCGAATAGCCGCTTTGCTACAAATATCTTTGAAGTGCCCTAAGTCGTGATGCAAGTGTAAATCGGAACTCATTTTAGGTTACGATTTTTCATATGGACAATAAATATTCTGACAAAATTTCAGCCACCGTTTTCCAGCTAGTTTTCGAGTTAGCACAGTTCCAGACGCAAATTTTACGTAACCGTACAAGTTGCGCAACTGTGTAGTTGCTGGATTTAAAATCTTCAGCTCATGCAAGCACATAAAAATATCTCTGCAAACTTTTAGTTTTCTGTCTTGCTTCTTCCCAAAATTATTTCCTGCCAAAGGAATTTGCATATTTTTCCAGGGGCCCGTACGTGAAATCTGGGCATGTGTGAGCGAAAATTTCGCACACGCTGGGACGCATTAGGCGAGTCCGTGCATCCATGCGTTTTTGCACCGGAATTGAAGTGCTTAGGTCATTAATTGCATGAATGTTTGTTGCTTTACACCTACCTTTTGCGGTCACTAACATGAATCACCACGAATTTTGCATAAAGTAAATGTATAATTTCCATTTAAGGCTGTTCTTTAAATGTAACCTAGCTGTTCAGTGAGAAATTTTTCCGCCAGAACTTTTAAATGCTCGTACGGAAGAATCAGCATACCTCAAGACCGAATTTGAAATTTTTAAATTGCACGTGGATAGTGAACATCCCCTCAAAATTTCAGCCTTCCAGCTTTTCTGGTTCCCGAGTTAATAATTTTCCCGCAGAAAATTTCACACTTCCCTACACATGTACCACGCATAATTGGGGGCTGAATTTGAAATCTTTGTAGGGAATGTCTCTACAAAGTCTTAGCCCTTTAACCTGACTTGTTCTCGAAATTACTTTCCTGCCAAAAAATTTCCATATTTTTTTAGAGGGTCCCTACGTGGCACCCAGGCGTCCCAGTATGCGCTTTTGCAATTTGCATATATGCAAAAACGCTTAAAAAGAGAGGTGACACACAGGATGGGAATATGTTCCCAAAATTTCAGCCTCTCGGCTTCGCTGGTTGCTGAGTTGAAAATAGGTAACAAAGTTCACTCGCTTCCGAACACATCCCACACAGATGACCTCTCGACAACATGCATTTTTGCTCGCTGCTGCTAAAGAAACAAACCGTCCACATTCAGCCTTGTTTTATTTAGTATATAATATTTTAAATAATTGCTTCATCCTCATAACTTTATCACGAACTAAAATACGAAATGAATTTTACGTTTTATCATTGATAATCCGTTCGAACGCATCACTGAGTTTCTTCTCTTCTTGAAGATCCGAAACCGGTAGCATTATACCAAAACCGGCTCGCTTCGCCAGCACAGCATTACGTAATTGATCACCGAAGACGGGTACCACGATGACGGGCTTCCCACGATTTAGCGTTTCTGTGATGCTATTCATACCACCGTGCGTCAGAAATGCCACCAAATTTGGATGTGCT